CTTTCCAGTCACATTCATCAAAATAATTCCTCCTTGATTCCTTTCTCTCTCACCCTCCACCCAACCCTCAGCAAATCTGTTGACTCCACCCTCAAGACATTGGCTTGTCAGAAAAGTCAGGACTGATTTTTCTTCTAGGTTTTTCTATGCAACAATGTATGATAACTTTTCTTCCAACCCAATAGGTCCCTAATCCAGCAACAAAATACAACAAAGACTGGACGGTGGATTGTTCCAGATTAAAAAGTGGAAGAGACACGAGGCCTGAATACAATGTGTGTTCGTGATTAGAGCCTAGGCCCACAAGAGAAAACAACTGTAAAGGACATGTGGGGATAGTCAGGGGAAGCTGCATGGAAATGAGCTCTTGGATAGCAGGCCCGTGCCTGTTGAGTTTCTTAAGTGTGACCATCACTTCGTGGTTACAGGGAAGACTTCCGAGCAGATGCCTGGAGAAGCGTTCCAAGGCCAAACGGCTTGATGTCTGTGTAGAGAAGGAGGGAGGATATCGTGGCAATGTAGCAATGCATGAGTTGAGGCACATAATTCATGGTCGTCTTTCTTTTGGTGACAACCATGAATCATACCTATTACTTCATTAAGGTCTGGCAAAATGGTGACATGCTGTCACTCTTCGTTTAGCAGCGCTAATCTTTGCACGTCACACAGATTACATGCTCACTTCTTTGCCTTTCTTTAGAGTTCAGAAAGAATTATTGTTCTTGTGGGTGATCGAGCTGTCCCTTCTCTGGCCAGCGGGAGGCTCCTCCTGTTGCTGCTCAAGTCCTTTTGCTGTGACTTGTAGACCGTGGCCTGTAGTCTCGGCTGCCTTCCTAGCCTGCTGCTCTGGCCAGGCGTTCCTATTCACCCTGCGTGTGTCCTGCCCCAGACCTGCAGCAACCTTTCCCTTCAAGAGCTCTGGTTCCAGAAGAGCTGCTTTAAAATCCCTTTCAGGTTGCTGTCTTACATCTAGTTTCACAGGAAGGACTATGCCTGGTGTTGTCTATTTATGCTGTCTTTGGTGGCATGAGGCTTTTCGTGTGATTTGTAATTTCTTCTTTTTTAAAGAGAGTGTGTGTGTGTGTATATATATAGTGCATGTGCTCACCAGAGAGACAGAAAGCGAAAAATAACCCCCTGGGGGATGGCCACACCGCAATCCCTTCTCCATGTTCCTCTAGGGATCTTGGGCACGCATGCACATGTACCTGGTGTGAGTTTTAAGCCACTGGGTCCGGGACTCGAACCGCAGTCGGTTATGTGGGAGTCCGGTGATGTAACCATTATACCGTGATTCATAATTTATGTGAGCTCACCTTCCTCAGGAGTTTTACCCTCCAGGTGCCCTGAACACACAGGGGGTGTTGTCACCATCTGGATCCCACAGGCTTCTCATGCCCCTTTACTGGGGACTAGTTAACAGAGAGGGGGTGATTGAAGGGACAAGTTGGCATCTACCCCAGGCCCTCGTATTATTTGAATATTTTATGATGACGTATTATCCTGTGGACTGTAGATCTGGTCAGCGCAAGGGACCTACACGAGGGGCGCCTGAGGAAACTGCTGCCCTGCCTGAGGCAGGATTGCTCACTTCGTCCTTGTTTGCTCTTCCAGGACCTGTACCCAGCTCTGAAAGGTGTCAGCACAGTTTTCCACTGTGCGTCGCCCCCACCATCCAGTCACAACAAGGAACTCTTTTACAGAGTGAATTACATTGGCACCAAGAATGTCATTGAAACTTGCAAAGAGGCTGGGGTTCAGGTAAGGGAAAGCTGCAGCAAGTACTGTTGGGAATGGGCGGGAGTGGGGGCCGATGTGGCTTTTTTTGCTGTTCTCTGGGGCCCAGCCAGGGCTGCTGCTTAAAATGTGGTGGCAATCTTAGAAAGGATGCCCGGGCGCCCTGGCGCCCTGCTGGGAATGATGAGGGTCCACTTGCCAAGGCCAGCAGG